TTGCGCCGTGCTATTCACCCTCACACTCTGTTTCCCCTTCAACCTCAGATTCCGCATGGCATCCAGACGTCATAGGCGGCCCTATATCCGTTCGAAGTCCTTGGACGTGAGTCTTCCTGAGGGATAAAGCTTAAAGTATGAACCCGATAGCCATTTTCTGAACTTCGCCAAGGCGTTTCCGGAGAGATTTGGCTTCCTTGACAGGGGCTGCGGAAGAACAGATACTGGTGTTAGGCCCAGGAAGGAGCGGCAGGGATACATCAATGAGACCAGTCAGGGCAAATTACATGATATGTGAGGTTGATGCTGAGGCCTGAGGTTTCAAGCATTCGCGGTATTGCAAAACTTATTACCAACAACGTTTTGAATCCCGATATATCCGTTGTGTATGCCGAAACGCTTGCATTAGCAAAAGATTGAAAAATGGAGCGGTTTGGGAGCTACTACTAGCTAATTATGCTTTCTTCGCTTAAGTTCGCACGACTATGATACCTCCCACACGCGAATCATGAATATTACGGTCGCTTCGAACACTGACAAACATGTGTTTGTACTGTATACACTCGGTACGCAATGTTTTAGTATAACAGTGGGGTGTTTATTTCTTGTACTTGCTACGTATGACAATGTATTCTCAACTCTGCATGTACACATCTATTCATACATTGTCATATCTCATCATTAAATCATAAACGTTTGAACACCAGCGTCCCATAAATACGACCAACACACCCCAGGTCTACAATAAATAAACCAGGTGTCATAAAATCGTGGTCAATGCGCTTCGCACATCTTTCGTGTCACTGAGGTCTGCAAGAAGGGGCAGATGTCTATAAGTTCGGTATCGTGAGGATCGTTAAACCATGAGGATATAGGCACGGCGTTGTTGGGGTGGAAGATATGATGCCGGTGAATTGTCGATGATGATGGTATCTGCCATGGGACGTCCGAGTTGCGACAGGTCCTGAAGATAAGGATGATCAGATACGGAATCTTATCTGCAGGGAGCAAACGAACCTTTACATAGTTTCCTCTATAGCGGAAACAACTTTCCCGGAAGAGCCTATGCGAAACAGCATTGTAGATATCGAGATGGTCCATCACCGGATCCGCATACTAAATGAGACGAAACAAGGAAAAGAAAGACATCAGTTGAATTTTATAACCCAGCCACCTGTGATGAACGCACGGAACCCAGACTTGCGGTGTACACTACTACTTCGTACAGCTCACCCATCTGTCGAAGAAACTCGTCTACTCCTGGTCGCTTCTGTACATACATATGGTGCCAGTGATTCTCGATTTCGACAGGAACGACGAAGTCTGGATCTGGTACGGGCTGACAGCGAGGTACGTCAAAAGCAGGTATAGAATTGGAGTGAAAGATATACCATGAAGTTACTATGGACGAGGGTCTCGTCCAGGTCAAGCACTAAACACTTCTTGCCAGCATGTTTAGGCGCGATGGGTGGGAGAAGTGGCCATGGCTTTCCGTCCTGTAACTGCAAGTCAGAAATATATCCATTGAACTACGGATCCACTCACAGAGCCCATGGGAATGCCAGCTCCCCCATTCCTGATCAACATTTCATCTTCCTCGCTTAACTCATCAAACGGAATATCATCCGACTCGTTACCATGTTCGGACGGGCGACTTGCAGAGGTCTTTAATACTTGACCAGGAACAGAAGAACCTGGCGGTTGTACGGCCCTACTGGTAGCGCCCGCAGTCTCTAGCAAGTCCTTAGGATGTACAGCAGGTTGACCTTTCTCCTGCGAGGGTGCGACCGGAACTACTGATACGACTGGTGCTTTCTCAGAAAATTGCTTCACAGAATTGTCCGCGGTCTTGTGAGCCAGTAGAGTAGGACCCGAGCCAACGCTTGCCACCCCATCGACGTCGATGTCATGAGCTCGGGAATCGTCTCGACGCAGCAGAAGAGCTTGCGAAAGAACGTGGCCAAGAAGCTCTCTTTGGATTTCTTGACACGTTTGATCTCAGAAGACTCCAGAAATGAAGCGTGATCTTTAGATTGAGAGCGACACCGGAGACTGCTGCGCCTGGAATGACTTTGGGAAAGGAGTGTGGAAGTGCCTGCGGATTCTTCGCGCTTTTCAAGTGCCGGAGATGCAGTAGATGATGAAGAAATATATGCAGCACTGCCTACATTCTCTTTGGAAGAAATAGAGGGACGAACGCGTGGTGGGACCTGCCGGTCAATGGCATGTGGCGTCCTCGATAATGAATCCTTCGAAGGTGCGGACGCAGCAGCTTTTTTGTAAGCTGTAGATTGAGTATCTGATGGCATGATGATTACAGTCCCGGTATCTATCAGGAGAGCGTTGTCGAACGAGAGGTCCTCAACAAATGACAAGCAGAATGAGTACGAGTGTCGAACAGCAGTAAGCTTGAAGGGAGGTATTGAACTACTGCGATTGTGAACAGTCGATATAAAAGGGGGAGAGTTGATGCAGGGACCTACTAGTACAGACACTTGAAGGCCGTGGTCCAACCGCAACCTGCCTACAGCGTTGCCTCCCGTTAAGCAGCACTTGCGGCCGTCAACCTAAGCGTCAATTAATTGCGGCCGCGCGGAAACAACAAGGCAGCGCCAAAAAAACGTTACATATTGCGGTCTGTCGGCCGTAATGTGAATCCGAACCAGGTACGGCATCTTGGATCCAGTGACCCATCATATCTGTCGATGATCACTGGCTCAGCAGATGCGACTGAGATAACAAGTCCTTCACAAGTTGAATCCAGTATCACGCACAAAAACTAGTACAAGTAGGATGAAAAAATTGCAGTCATTTTCAAATTGCACTACATGAATTGATAGGAGGATGATTTTACTACATAAAGTGACCAATCTTTGGTACTAGCGGTCACCTACATCACAGCTTACCTATGTCAAATGCGAACGTACGCTGACCTTGTTTGTGGCACCCATATGCATAAAGCTTGAAGCAGGGGAACTGCGAACCATCAAATGTCCGAACTGCTTTGCACATGAGAAATCTTCCGTAAAACGTCTGATTTCACATAGAGGTAATTCCAGGAACTGGAGCAACAAGTTGGCTGAACACGATCTTGATCCGACTCATTCTTCTTTAGGGGTTAGGCGGCCTTCATAGCGGTCGAGGTCAAGGCAAGGCAGTGCGTCACCTCATCAAAACCGATCGGCCCTGGCAAGTGGACGCAGATAAGGAAGTATGCGCCGTCCTTTGCGATGGTCAAAGCTGTATTCGGGTTAAATATTGCTACGGTTGAACCTTCCACACTCACCACCAATCGAACATCTAACAGCGACCTTCTGTGCATTGCGTGACGGAGAATCTGGAACTCACGAAACAGACAGCTCCACTTCGAGCTTGCCTAGAACAAGAAAAAACGTGTTATCTTGCTGAGATGGAGCTGGTGTTCCCTATCGCGAACATGATGCGGATGATGACATAGGGCCCAGCCCCGACACCAGTTAAACCCGGTCGTCCGCGTTCATACCCTCGGTGAACGTCCGCGGTACATCTAGACCGGCGGCATGAAATTGAAATGCACCGAGTAAAACGAACAAATTGGTTGCTTTGGAAATCATTTCATTTGTGAGTAGGGGATGATTGACGTTCGATCGTGCAATGAACATGAACGAACCTGCTAAACGTGCCTGAGCGTGGAAATAACATGCGAGGTCCCCGCTGTGAGTGAGGGGCTAAGCAAACAATGAGCTTCATCCAAAAAAGGCAACCGTTGTTGTCGGCTTTTGTTCTTGAGCTTATACTTTTGTGGTGCCAGCAGTTGAAGTTTGGGTGTCAGGACAATATACATCTTTTGTCTCCGCGTAACTTTCACAACAATAACAAGCCCATTCTGTGGAAATTATCTGCGGGTGGTAGTATAAAAACCTTACCTTAACCATGCCATGAGTGCCTCGACCCTCGCTGCTTCGACACCTCGCATTTCGCCCCCCCTATCTAGTGTCATCACAATCAGTGCAACAAAACTCTACCTTCCGGCCCGTAAAACATTGTTCTCGACATCCGCCAGGGACGGCTATTCGTGATTTTCATTCCCTTTCTCATTACCTCCTCGAGCCCAACAAACCTGCCATTCACAATTTCACACGTCCCAGTATCCAACATGGCTAGTCTCGCCGTTCCCCAACATGCATACCTCACTTCCGAGCTCTGGATCGTTGAATCTAAACCAATGTAAGGACCGTCTACGCCGCCCAAAAGTTTTTACTGATCTTTTCTTGCCTCGATCGTAATAGGAGAAAGACACGCATCTCATGTGGTAAATATATCGAACGCCAGGTCGTTCGTGCATGGAAGCGCGTTACTGGTGTTACTCGGAAACATCAGCGTGCTTCTTTCCTTCCCAAGGATTTCATCCTTGTCACTTCTCACCGCCGCAGCGTGAGGTTGGCTTGAATAGTTCCGAGAGGAGGCAGCTGTGTTGTCACAACCATTCACAGGCGGCGCACACATGGACAGCAGAGAGATCGGGCTTCTGAATCGCACACATTCATTTTTCTATCTGGGACATTATATCATTATTTGACGTGGAAATATAGTATTCACCGCCCACTCTAGGTCGTATCACTTTTAACAATACTTATGCTACATTTTTTAAAATAATTAATCCATTATATCCATTGAATAGACAGAGAAGCTACAGTTTCGAACCCAAAGCATGAAACTAGTGTGATTTGGAACTGGCCAGGGTATCAACATGTCCTAGAGCTAGCAGTACATATCATGAGGTCGTTAAATTTACATGTGATTTCTCGTCCGTGTCCTAGACCAAGCAACTGAAAATTAACTTACTACAGCGGCATCAACTAGAATGTGGATGGTAAGCGTGCAAGTAAATGAACATCAATCGAAAACCCTACCCCGCGTGCAATCCGGGTTATTTGTTCCACACCACTCTGCAAACGTGACACCTCATTCTTCAGGTGACCAACTTCTTGCAGCAAGCTGGCCTTTTCAACTGCATCCGTTTCAGCGCGACTTTTTAGTTCGGTAATGGTGTTGTGGGCATTGCGGAGATCTTCGAGGATGCCTAAGCATCGCTCTTGTGATGCTTGGGTGTTCCCGTTTGCCGCATCAAGAGCATTTCCTGCAGCAGTCAGGGATCTCTGCAGATCTGCGACTTGTGTTTGTAGCGAAGATATCTGAGCATTTCATCGCTTAAACTTTACTACGAAATCGAACACCGAAACCACCTACCTCCGGGAGGAACATGTGAGATGACGATCTAAACCCTCCAATGAACCCTGAAAAATATCCAATAGCAAGAGAAATGGAGCCGAAGCGCGAGCCAGACGTTTCAAGGTTCTGCCTATCAGAATGGCTATGCGCATCATTACCAGAAGATGTGACCTCGGTGAATGATGCTGTGGGTGTGGGTGTAGGTGTAGGTGGTGACACAACCACTGGTCGCCGAGGCAATGACTCGGGTGTGGGGAGTCCAATATTTCTATCACTGTGGCTATAGCTTAGCGTGCGAGCACTGCAGCCAAATATCAGTACACTGGCAGTGCATGATGCGAAGTCTTTGTAAATTGTACTCACGGTGTGAAGGGAACAACCCGAGTGTCGTTGAATTCTTCGGATTGCCTGTATATAATAAGTACGATGCACAATAATATATAAAACGCTCACTGACATGAAGTCCATCGAATCATCACCTTCGTCAACTTCGTCGTCCGCGACAGTATTTGCCTGACAATTAGCAGCATCTCTTTCTTGACGCAAAGAGGATACCAAATCCTGATATTTTCTGGAATATTGGAAAGCACACCTAGCTGCCTCTCGTTTATGCGTCAGGACAAAGCACACAGTATGTCCTGCTCGCTTACCTGGAGCAGAGTCGGTGTTCGATCCTTTCCAAACACTTTGGTTGCAAGCGACATATATGCACGGTATTTTTCCCGAGCTGATAATGTTCCATATCCGTCTAGGACTTCTTGAAAGCCGCGATAACTGTGGCAGAGTAGGAGAGGACAACATGAGCGCATATCTTCAATTAACCATATGCTAGCACTTGCATGTCGTAGAAGCTGGACTGAATTTCTATTTGTTGAACCACATCCCGCTGACGGCCATTATGGGCAAAGGTCAAGTTGATGTGCCCGTGCTCCAACTGTGAAAGAATGACATATGAATACAAATCTCACACCATCGTGTGATGTCTTACGAAGAATACGAGCACCCGCCGCAAGTGAGCATGCTGGCAAGAACCTACTTTCAAGTCAGCAGCGCTTGCCCGACGTTTCACTGGATCACAGTGAGACGGACGAAACGATCAGAAATCAACAGACAAACTCGTAGTCTTGAATTCCTCAAAAGATACACTTAATGTATCTGCGGGACCAAGATTGGGATTTTCATCGCAAATGAATAACAAAGCGGTGCAGACAGCTAGTATATCGCAGACGTTTACAGCATATCAGAGTCGAGGTAAAAACGCCACTTACCGTGATATTGCGCAAGTTTGCGACTAGTGCTGATTTTATCAAGCTTTAGGCGGCCTTCGGGCGTGTGTGCTGTCGTGGAGACGTCGAGGTATGTGCTGCCGCGTCGAATGGCAGGCATATTGGGTAAACGAGATTCCAGGATGATAGTCGACTGAAGGACATTAGGTAGTCGCGTAGATTATAAGCCTTTGTAAAACAAAGACTGAAGAAATCACACGCAACCGATCTGAAAGCCCTTTCATGATCGATGATCGCTATGCGACGACTCGCTTAAGTTTATTGTTGGGGTTCGACAGAGAGACACGAGATCACAAAATTAAAAGCCTCCGAATGACAAACAAGCTGTGCGCCCACCGATCACATGCAAAGCGTCTATCTATTAAGTCGATATGTAATATCGTCTCTGTAAATGTTCTAGTTGTAAGTAAACAATACAACGAAAACACAATAAAAGCTACAGTTTGAAGTGATCCGCCCAGTGTCGTAACACGCCCTCGCCCTCTAAATGGTGCTTAAACATCTTGGGGTCACGACAGACTATCACTGCATGAGAATTACGTATACCTTCAAAGAAAGCTCGCTCTTTCTTCAACTGTGGTATGTTGTTGAGATTCTCTATGCACTGAAGTTGACCAGGTGTCAACAAAGGTTGGTATGGAGGGGGCTTTGATTGCGATTTCTTTTCTTGTCCCTTCGTAGGCTTGGTGGAGCTGGCTTTATTAGCAGGGTCAGCACCAGATATCCGCGACGTAGCTATGGGAGTGCCAGCAGGGTCATCATATAAATCAACTGCGGCGCTTTCGAGCTCGCTCTCCAGTTTGCCGATAATATGAATAAGTCTTTCTCTGGTTGACTGCGCTTCAAGATGCCTTAGTCGACCACGAGACTGGTGTGATTGAAATGATAGGCGGATGAGAGCAAGGCAGATAAATGTCGGGAAGAGAATTGGTAGGAGGGCATAAACAACCTATATCGTTGCTGTGAGACGAGGCAGTGAGTTCAGAGGATCTTTGCATACCAAGTTTAAAGGAAACTCGGCTTGAAATCGTGGAGGTAATGGCAGGCGCATGTTACGGATACTCTCATACCAACGTTGTGGCTCTTTCGTGGTTGCAGATGATAAGGGAACCGCAGAGTAAGATTTGATGACATGCTTGTACTCCTCGTGGAAATCACTGAACAACACAGTTAGAATCAACGCTTGCAACACGAACCAGGCAATTACATTTTGATGCCATTCTTCTCGTAATCGCCAAAGGGGTCTTCTGCACTGATGCCAGAAGTGACGTATGGCACAGTCAAGTCATTGATGCTAGGGTCATAGTCAGGGATAGCAGATAAATGCGGCATGTTTGAACTTACGCATTGGCATAAATTCTAATATTAGGAAATAATATCAATGCTTGATAGAAAATGCGATCAGGGTCAGCAAGGACCTCCACCAGTGGCCTTCCTCGTGGTGACCATTTGTCGACACAAAAGAACTGCTCGCCTGAACGGGAAAGAAGCTTCGGTCCCAGAAATGCGGATATCGAGGAGAATGTCGAAGGGAATCTAGGTATGCCGATATGTGGGGTAGCTAGAGTGTTGAAATTGACGGGTTGCACCGTCTCAAAAAACTTCGACTGGTGAAGGACACTAGGCTTGCTCTTTAGGTCATCCACAAGACCGGGGACTGTCACACGCACCCAATGACATAACGAGCAACCAGGCCGCCAAGACTGTAACCGGTGACGGAGAAGCGAGTCACCTTTCGACCTTCCTTCTCTAGGTCCGCGGTTTTCTGTCGAATCTGGGTTTATGCGCACTGAGAATCCTCAGGTTTGTTAACGATAATAAATAAAAATACCTCTTCAGCCACTCTTTCACCTCCCCAGTCGATTCCGTCATATGTGGATTCATCCTTATTGGTTTCAGCGACAAGAACTTCAAGCTTAACGTCACCATCCTCGACTTTACCCTTCACCTCGCGAATGATTTTATTCACATGAGCAAGATGAGAGGGATTTCCCCACATTCCGTGGATCAAGACAAGTAGATGGACGTCTGACATGGTGGAATGGCTGGCAATGATGAGACGATGCGGGTTTGGCGAATGATATACAGCAAGAGATTAATACAGTAAGACGGGAAGCACGGGATGTTATAAATACGTGGAGTCGTGAACCTCATGCCATGCGGGATGTAGCTTCCACGCCGTGGGTGTCAAGACCGCGTTACCGGCCGGCAGCTCTGAGCTTGGTACTGCGCTAGCGTCGATGCTGACGCACACATGCCACCTGTTATGTAACACAACGGGTCGGCATCATTATCTTGGCAATTGAACGACACTCAAGCTTCAAGCTTCAAGTTGGACGAAGCCTTGCACATTTCCAGAATTGAGAGGGTCAAGCTAAGCTTCAACTGGTCAATATTCAATCGTGGTGAATGTCAGAGTTCTGTAGACTTTAGGTCTACTAGACTACTGGTACACTTCGGCAGGCTTGGTAAATTCAAGCGGAGTTAGCCACACAGCCTAATAAGTAATATTTTTTATCTGCTGCCTGCCTGAGGAGAATGCTATCCAGGGGGTGAGTATCATATATGTCGGGTGCGATGAGGACCCTGAGTCCTGACAGTGACAGAGGCAGTACTACTTAACCGCCCTAAGTGGATCTATTGTCAACGCGTGGCAACAAGCAACCTGAGTCTGATTAAATTACGCTGGGGTATTAATCCACATTGTATGGTAATGGTCTCAAGACTTAGCAAATTGTGTGCACCACTGCAAAAGCTGACATGGTTAATCAGTACATTCTGAAGTAGTAACAACAGCAGCACATGTCTGGGACCCTCAGGCCGGCAGTTCACATTGAAATCTAGTAGTAAACGGATTACGCGACTGAAAATATGCATGAGAGTGAGTGGTACAAAATAATCTGGGGTATTGTTATGGTCTCGGTATCTGGCCATTAAATGAAAGGTTTCGCTTGAAGATTCCAAATACGAGCATACTCTCCCCCTTTCTTCATGAGTTCAACATGCGTTCCTTTTTCCTGGACAGTTTCGTCGATGTACCTGCGGCGACCACGTCAGCAAGCCTTGGTGTTCGAGCAGACAGAAACTCACAAAATGAGGTCGGCATATTGGGTGAGATTTCCAAACCGGTGAGTGGAGAATATCATGGTCTTGTTACACCTCAACTTCCGTAGACGCTCGAAGAGATCTATTTCCATCAGTCATGACTACATCCAAATTGGCATCTCGAAGAAAAAAGAGAGCGCACCATGTTCGGCCATAGGATCTAGGGAGGCACTCGGCTCGTCGAATAACAGCATGCCAGCAGAAGACTCAGTTTCAGAGACCAACGAGCGCATGAATGTGCGGGAGCTATTTGAATAGTCCATATCGAGACCTGAGAAGTCAAGGTATGGTAACACGTACATTGCAAGCCGCTGCGCCTGCCCGCGGCTGATTTGAATGCCTGGAGCTCCGGTGATATGGACACTGTCAATGATATTCCGTGACGAGGAGCCAACGGGATGCCCGAAGAGCGTCGTAGTACCTTCAGGAAGGTCCCCATAGTAATCATCCACGAGGCGGTCGAGATAAGTATCAAATCCATGAGGGAGCTCATCGATGAAGTCTTCTGCGCCGCCGAGACGGGCGGCTTCGCGAACCTTGTCATCCTCATGTGCAAGGGCGGGGTTGCCAAGCCCAATGTTCTCGCGCATCTGCGTGTGCGTTAAATATATCGCTTCCAGGATGCACGAGTATGGCTTACTGAGAGAGGGAATTGCGAATAGTCTTGGAAGAGGATGGACATAGCAGCACGGAGGTCAGCAAGTTTCAAGGTTTTGATGTCACGGTCGTCGATAAGGATGGTGCCCTCCGTTGGGTCGTAGATGCGGGAGATCAGGTTCAAGATCGTACTCTTTCCAGAGCCGTTCACACCAACAATGACCTGCTATTGTGATTAGAGAGCACCACAAAAGTAGATAAACTTACGCATAGCTGACCAGCCTCGATCTTGAACGATACATTCCGTAGAGCACACCTGTCTCGACCAGGGTACTGGAACGAAACATTCCTGACATATATGCATTAGAAATAATTCTATGAAGTAACGAATACCAATCAACTTGAATTCAACAGAAATGCCATTTGCAAGAGATTGTTGGTTCTCGGGGAACGGTTCCGTACCATCCACAACCTGATTTCGTATGTTCTCTATCTCATAAAGATCGCGTATTTGGGCCAAGTTGGTCGTAAGAATGGAAAACATGCTGGATATCGAGAAATATGGATCAAAGGCTTGCTTGATCCATATGAGTGATGCCAAGGAGACGGGAGTGGTCGTTGGATTTTTCACTACGCGCAAGGAGAAGACAATCTAATTGACTTAGTCGGCTTTGTCAACTCTGAGGTCAACTCCACGTACCTGAGGTAACACATGCATTGTTTCTCGGATGATGAACGTGATGCTCAGACAGTCCTTGAAAGAACGAAATCGTTTCAGTTCTGGGAATTCAACCGCATCGTGACCGATGCGCTGAGATGCTTCGCGAAATCCTGGTCTCGATCAAGTCAGCATAAGATTGTCCGGTAAGGCGCGTCGACATACGTGCACTAATGTGTTCGCTGAAGTTGCCTGCGACAAACTCTCGACGGTGTGAGGACCCAGTAATGAGTTCCTTCAGACCTTGCATGCAAATCAAATTCTCGTTGGTCGTTGTCGCGGCCCAAACTACATATCTGGCTTAAACAAAGGCTTAGAAGCATCAGCTGTTGACATACCCAAGGATCCGACCACTGCTTTTCCCGTGCTGTCCCAGGGCAATAAATATTGCAAAAAACTGAGAACCACGAGAAGTAGACCATCCTGTTGTTCCCACATGACTGTACTCAGAACCAAAAGGCAAGAGAGCAGACGAATAAGTATTATTGCGATGTGCGTCAACATCTCAATAGTGTTCCAAACCGACGAAGTATGCCAAAAAGCTAAGCCAATGTTGAGGTCGCTCACTGCGTGCGAGCGATAAAGAGTTTGAAATGCGAGCAGGTCGAGGCGGACAGTTGAGAGAAGCATGCGTTCATTGTAGAATTGTTTGATGTACAACCTCAGACGAGGCATCATGGAGTCTCGGGAGTATTTGAGAAAGCGCATAGCAACTGCGCATATGATATGTGCTGCCGAAAAATGTACGAGCACCGTTGTGTCCACAGTACGTGCCTCCATTACGCTCTCTACCTAGTGCGAAATAAGTTGGCAGTGGTAGATGAAAGTGAAAGGGACATTACAAGGCGGAGCAATTGTCCGGAGTACCTGCGCAACGACGTTATGGATGTATAGGGAAGTCGCATCGTTATGACGTACCACAGAGAAACAGCGGGTATGAGGGAAGCTAAAACCTCTACTACAAGGTATGCGGGGAGAAGGATGGAGCATCGTTTGATGCTGAGTACATCCTTGAACATGCGAACTAGAAGTGGAACACTGTAGATTATCGGGGTATATGTCTGCAATATCGATGAGACTCGGTTGCGTGCCAGTGTTTGGCGTGCCTCGTAGAGATCCCATATACCGATGCGGGTATGCTTGAAACGACGAGTGTCCTTGTGGTCGAATTCTCCTGTGTGTGCTTTCATTGGTCTCTCTCTCTCGATGGTGAAAGAATACAAAGTGGGCTAAAGTCGGAGAACATCCGTAAGCCAACTTAAAGAGAGGCGTCCTCAGGTACACCGCGAAATCCAGTTAGATCGTACGTCCTCAAAGCTTGGGAAAGCCAACAATATTAATATGGTCAAAGCTGGCGAATGTTGGCTGGTTGATCATGCATGCCGCAGCGTGTATGCATAATAAACCTCGCATAGGTTAGTAGCTTGGAGCAGCCGCCCCAGAGATTGGTTGATAAGAACTATATAAGGAACATGTGGACTTTCTGATCAAACGTTAACTTGAACGTGGACGTATACCAGGACCTAGAATAGGTACTGGTTTACCAATTTTAATTGTCTGTCCGCACGATCATCCCAGGCCTGCAGGGTCCGGTCTTAGTCATCATTCGATTCTCTCCTTTCTCTCTTTGGTTTTGACCATCAGCTTCTGCTGTCCGTGATATAATATTTTCAACACATAACTTCGTTTTTTTGCATGGCATCTAGTTCGTCAATTACAAACCTTTCTCTCTCTGTTCCTCCTGCTTCGCTTGTTATCTCCGACGAAGAGTTTCCCAACGACGGGAATTCTATAGTGACATCATGCGTTTTACGCAAGTACTTTGGGTTTTTTGAGGTTTCTCGAGAGCGCCTATTGGCGTTGAGACAGTATCCTGCGGGTGTTTTGTTGCCTGTTGCCATAGCGAGTCTGCAGCAACTCATGGAGAATTGTCTGATGTTTACTAGGGAGCAATATGCTTTGATTGCGTCTGCACATGCGGTCTGTGTCATGTCCATACATCGTAAGGATCATATCCGTGACATGTTGCGTGTGCATGTATGTAACGTGGATTGTATATCTAATCTACCTGTTTTTAAGCTCTTGAAAGTTCTGCGACGAGATTTTTCGAATCAGATTCTTCCTGATCCTTTTTGTAACAGTTCTCATCAGGCAAATGCCATTGCGCATCGTGAGAGTCGTGCAGTGCTTAGTGAAACACAACGCTCGGATATTTTGGCTCGAGATGCGGATTCCCATTATGAAAGTTGTCGAGTACATGCTCAAACTGTTTCAGATAGTATTGAATTTCCATCGATTCGTACCTTTGAAGAGAAACGGGATATCATTATGCAGTTTCAAGCTGAAATGTCACCTGAAGCACTGAAACAAGGAGCATGTGCTGTTTGTGCGCATAATCTCCTCATCAGTGATCTTCATTGTGTGGATATTCATAAGGTGCCACTCCATTTGTTGCACAATGATTGTTTACCAGAACATATGCTGCCGCACAGTTACGATTTGGAGATGTACAGTCGTGCCATCTTGTACCCTAAAGGTATGAAATCTTGTTGGTCTTTCTCTGACTTATTTATGTGTTGTGTGTGTTGTGCCGCATTGACAAATAAGCCGCCAAGGCAACCAGTCAACTCATTAGCTAATTTTCAGTACTATGCTCATGATAGATTACCAGATAATATTCGACATGCATTCACTCATGCCTCCGTGTATGATTTGATGCTTATTTCTCGTGCTCAGGCGTCCCAGATCACTCATTTTTATAGCTACAAGTCGTCGACAGCACAATATCGTCCAGTGGAACAGATCTCTCAGCAGTACAATAAAGGAAATGTGGCCGTCAGACCCCAAGATTCTGTCAAGCTTTATTCTATGTTGCCTCCCAGTTACGATGAGCTTCGAGATGCCATGTGCGTCGTCTTTAGTGGTCAGAAAGAATGGCCTTCGTGTGACACGGTGAAACAATTGCGGCCCATACTGGTCACCAAGAGTAGAGTGCGTATACTCATCGAATTTTTAATCACTAATAATCCATGGTATCAGAAAAGTGGTGTTGCCTACAGTCCACGAAATATGGACTCACTGTTCGACAATGTCGATGCGGATGTTGATTGCAGTGTTCCCGCAACATTGGAAGTGTGTCATTTGCCGCGAGGAGGTGACACACCCGACAGCACATGTTTTGAAGGCCTCGAGTCGTGAGAAGTTGATGTGCCAGAAGATGATGCATCAGAAGACATTGTTATGGAAGCAGTGGGATTTACTCAAGGAGACCACTCATCACAGAGCAGAGAAAAGATGAAACTGCATGCATTAGCTTATGTCTTAGATCGGAAGTGTTTCCTTCTTTCTCGGACTGGTGTTAGCTTCATTGCGGATAATGATCCTGGATTAATGTCTTACCTATTCCCTCATATTGATCCTTGGGATATTGGAGGTTTTTTTTCATTGTGGACGTACATCGAAGCAACATCTTTCGATGGAAGCTCAGGTTCGCAACTTATTGCTTCAAGATGATTCTCCGTTTCGAAAGGACACTAATTTTGCCTTTATATGTTGGAATATGATTCAAAAAAGAGAAATCAGTAGCAATACTACCTTTCGAGTCTGCGCATCTCAGCAACAGAGTTTGGTAAGAGAATTAAAAGACGTTGGTCCATCTTTGACTGCATTGGCTGAGAAATGGACGTGTTCAATCCATGAAAAACCATCTACCACTCAAGAGAAAAAAGCTGCGTGCATTCTGCGTCGTTTGCAATCGTCAACAAAAAATCTGAGAGGAAGTATTGGATATAAGTTGTGTCGTCGTAATGAAATTCGTGCTCTTATGAAAAAATATTGTACACCGGCGTTATTCATGATGCTCAATCCACATGATTTAACTAGTCATATAGTTTCTTCAATCGTAGATATAGAATTGGATCAATGGATGACCATGTCGTCGTTTGAGCGAGCTAAGGTGATTGCTGTTCGGCCAGATGCTGCGGCACTCGCATTCGACTTACAAATTCAGGCATTCCTAAATATCATTTTGAAATATAAGCATGGACCAGGCATTTTTGGTCACTGTCAAGCGTATTACGGTATGGTCGAAGCGCAAGGAAGAGGGACACTGCATTGTCATATGTTATTATGGATCGCTGGCAATCCGAGTCCCCAGGCATTGCGTGATCGACTTGCATCTGATGCGAGCTTCAAATCTAATATGTTTCAGTGGCTAGAGAATATTATTAGCTGCAAGCTTCCATATGATAAGGGTCCTGTACCTGAAACATCGCCCAATGATGCATGCAAACCTGTGCGCACACACGAACTCGACCCAAGGCTAGAACGATCCCCACAAGTAGCTGAAATGGATGCAAAATCCTTTGAATATGAATTCAAAAAGTTTTTGAGTCGTCTTGCTGTAGAATGTAACTGGCACATTCATAGCGAGACATGTTATAAGCATCTAAAAAATGGACAAAAAAAAGGAGATTCAACTTGTCGAATGCGTCTCGATGGCTCTGTGCAGGACGTCACGACTATTGACATTGAAACTGGCTCTATTGAGTTGCGACGATGGAGAGGTCGAGTGAATAATTGTTTCTCCTACAGTGCAATACAGACACTCAGTTCATTGGATCAGGTGAAGCTGCGAAGGCAGCAGTATTTTATATCACCGCCCTCCGGGCATCCCAGGACCTTGCCTAAACCGACCCTTTTGCCTGCCGAAATTCTGTGGGAAAGTGAATCCTTTGTTAATTTTGCCCACGCTGTTTTCGGTTCAGCCTCTGTTGTTACTTTTATCTTACTTTCATCTCGCCGCTTTGTCAATGTGCTTCCCCAAATATTCGATTGCCTTGTCCTTTTGACCGACTTCCGAGCTTGCAGCCTCGCACTCATTTTTGTCATACTTGTTCAAAGAATATCCTACACTGGTGAAGCCCTCTTCATTTTACTTCTCGCCTCTTGCTCACCCAGTGTAGGGTTAGGGTTATTCCAAATATGGAGATCCGTCCCAGGATGTCCCTAATCTAGGGTTAGGTTCTTGCAGACCAGCAGTACAATGTATTCTGCCGATTCAAACACCTCTGTATCACGATTCTTCGGACTGATATTACTATTAATCCACTCAAAGACACAGAGACCAGATTTCATTTGCAGATATTTGTTAGGCAACAAAGTAGGTCATTTATATAGTTTGAGCCATCAAGCCACTACTCCGATGTACGTCTCGACACTTTGATCTTCCTCTTCTATGCAGCCCTGACCTCCGAGACGCCAGATTATGATTGCCAAGTTGTCGCATGTCACATTGGTTTTTCCAACTGTCTTCTTCGGCGTGAACTCCCAACGCAAAGTTCCCTTGTCCACTGTGTTTCTGGTGGTGAGGGGGCAATATGCGCTGGAGTGGCAATTATGGATTCCCATGTCAAACGGCTCTGCAGACGTCCGGAATCCTCGTTGCATGTATTTCATCAGCGCCAGTATGGTACTGATGTTGTTCCTGTCGTCCATATATGTGATAGGATTGACCAAATTCTTTTTATCCTTAGTCCACTCGGGATAGAGTGCGACAAGGTATGCGAGGTGATGTAATTCATTACGGCAGTGGAATGATATTGAACGATAGGCACAATTGCGCTTGCCCAGTCTGTGATCATGATGTCGACTCTTTTTTCTCCGTTTTGCAGCTTATGGACTTTCGTTATGGCCGATGAATCATACTCTTTCTTCCTGGCAATGCTTTTGGGGCCTTTGTAACCTTCCTTGTCCTTGAAATGCTCCAGCAATGTTCCTTCAAACTCTTGCATTGCATACACGTCCAAGTCTTGGAGTTCTAGCGCCTCCGATTTAGCCTGAAACAGATGTAGTGCGCTCGAACCCGCAATGATTGAGCCCGTGCGTTCCATTATGTTGACGAATGCACTAGTGTCTTCTACGAAGGCCCCAAGCAAGATCATCCGCCGTTCTTCAACATATTCTTTTACTCCTTCGTTATTCTCATTTCTAGTCTTCCCCAGCTCTATGAGGTCTGGGAGCGCGAGATGATCCATCACCATCCGCTGTAATTCAGCGCATAGTTTGTCTAAGTCGCCATTCAGTTTAGTCATGTCAAGATTGTTTGATATGGATTGTTAGATGTCGTGAAGTAGTGATTTAAGAGTTGACCAATATCAAGTCTCTATTGTGGCCTGATATCCATTTTACTCCTAATACTTGCTGATTAATAGGGTCTTTGTGATTATCAGTGTTGTTGTCATATTTTGCGCTAGACAGTCAGCTTAATATATACATTCACGCGTAGGCCCTAAGATGCATGAAGTTGCATAAGTCGTTGGTACATTCTATGCCATATGTCTGTTCATTGCATTTCATCATAGTGAGGCATTTCTCGCATCACGCTAAATACTTTTCATTAGCAGGATACTCTATTGGCAGATGCAAGATTACGGCTTACTGTTCTATGCTCTTTGTAGCCGCCATGTAGTCTTTCCTCAAAACATCTTCTATATCAGTCTCATTGGTGATCTTGAATATTAAGTATGGACAACATGGCATTCCATGCAATGTGCTGTCATAAAAGACACTGAAGAGGGTGGGTTCATCAAATTCTTCGTCATCAATGGTTACCCGCTCTTCCTTGATATTGGCTTCACTCCGAAAGTATCCGTGAGGCTTTATAAGACGGAAATGACCATTTCCTTCTGCTTTGATGCAGACCTCCAGGAATCCATTAGGTTGCATAAATGAGAATAAGCAAGCGAAGACAATGAGCTCGTTGGCTTTGTTGGTCTGAGACACCATGATTGTGATGTGTTTTGGGCCATCTTATTTGCTTCCGTCGATTTAAGTATTTTTTGTTTTTTAGACTCTTGTCCTACGTCATGTTTTGCTCTCTTTGTCTGCGTCATGTGATATCTAGGTCATACATTTGGTACGTTACCTATCTCGTCCAACTCTCGTCATAAGGTCATTTCCATATCCTCAGTCTTTCATGTTTACACGTCAATCTACCAATCCTCTGGACGTGAACGCAATAGAGAATTATATGTTTTCTCATGAGCTGGTATCTCTATTCTTTTTCTATGAGATATATATTTATCTACTCTTTATCTTTCGCAGGTGGGCTGAACATATCACCATGCAATGTTCTATGGTACCGCTTGTGAGGAGGCCATTTTGACCTATGTCCCAGAAGATTTAGACGGCATCGTTCGTGCACAAATGTGGATAGGTGGAGGTCATTGGTTGTGCTCTCGTGATATTTCTGCTTGGGCTGTTTCCATTGGCGGATTCCCTGGTTCCCGCTGCAGCATCTTTCCTGACGCTTATAGTGTCATTTTTTTGGAACGCAGTCCTACATTATCTGTCAATCGTGCTTTGTCTTCCTCCATTATCTGTGAAGCTGCTCCACAATGGCTCGGTGATATCTTAGTCGTCAAACACATAGGCCATGATTATCGCATCTTGCAATCCATGGAGTTTGATGAGAAAGCTCTTGTTGATGCTTTCTTGGCAAGGTGAGGTGCTTGCTTCATGTTACTCAACATCATTTTTGATTCTCTTTGTTTTCAATATAGTCTTTCCATTATCTTATTTTCTCTGGTTTAAAGTCTTACTGGTGGATATTTTCATATTATCTTGTGTTTAGTAGTCTGCGAATTATAGTTGTTCTATGTATCACATCATTCACCTCTCTTGTGCTTCTTTCAGTGGATCTATCCCGCTTTTTATGTACCACCATAAGGTTTTGCCTAGTTCTTCTCTCTCTACATCGAATTCAGCTGATTGGGGCGTAAATCCTTCTCCATTTTTCACGACTATGACATCTCCCCGAGGGCAATATCTCTTGCCATATATTGCCAACATGACAGGATGATAGGCACGTTCATCGTCTGACCTCGCGGTATGGTAGATGTGGTAGTACCAGCACAAAACCCGTTGATCTTTCGGGAATAATATGAGTGGGTGTTCAGGTCGTCCTTCAGGTAAGAATTCTTCTATCAGTTCTAGGGCTTCGTTATCGCAATTGGGCCAGCAATGTCTAATTGGCTCAAGATTTCCTAGCAACAGTAGTAATCCTGCAGTTACACTCATTGAGAGTGTGATGTTGTTGGATATTCTCATGGCGATGCATGCCTCTTCTTCTTCCTCGTCTTTTCTTTTGCCTCGCAGCTTCTTGATTCTCTATTATAATTGAGTGTAAGTTCTGTAGAGATTCCCTCTCTATACTGACCTTGATATTTAGACCCCAGTTCGGGTGCTTTCGTCCCAATTCTTCATACATTTCTTGATGTGTGAGTCTGTCGGGTTTCTCAGCCTGTGTAATGGCTACCATGAGTTCCGCTTTGGAAGGTATAGTTGTCATGGTTTTGATTGTTGTACTTTACGTGTCTGATTATAACTAACAGACTAAATACTTCTGCCATAATTGCTCTCTATGATTTCATCAAGGCAATGATGTCATGTTTGGTCTTGTTTACTTTAAATGTGTGCATCATCAAGATATTATAATGAGTCCGGAGTTTTTGAAAAACACTTCAGATGTCCTCAATGCCTTCCCTCATATTTTTATGTAGCTTGCGATGCTATATCATGCTCTAGATGAGGTGTCTCATTCTTCAAATATATATTACAGATGTTGCTAGTGAACGTGTTACATTTTTAAATAGCCAAACCGTCTATCTGCACTTCTCCTTGAGGAATTTCTTCGGGCACTTCAGCGATGTCTAGGAGGGATATGGCGACCATCTCATATTGAGCGCAAGAATGCCATTTGGTGTCCTCTTGTTTCTTAGAATATTGCGTCATCTTAGCTTCTAATAAGATAAGATCTCCAGGCTTCAGGTCGGTGAGACTCCATAAGGGGCGTTCACTGTAAGATTTGAGCGATCCCTCACGTCTTGCATCATAGACAGCATCGAATAGAATTGCCTGACAAATCACGTTATTTTTGTCACAGGTGGGTTTACACAACCCTTACCTCACTTGTCCCCTCACAAGTCTTAGTATTCTGCCACTTAATAGCTCGAATGACTGATGAGGCTTGTTGATTGAAGCCTAGATTCATGTCAACTTGGATATCAAAGCGATGTTGGTACTTACTCAAAGTTGGGCTTGAGAATTTAGCCAATAGATGAGCACTCTGCTGCGCTAACATTTTTGACAGCAGCATGACAGTTAAACTCACTTGGGTCTCCGGCTTACCGGATTTCATGAACCACATTTTCGCGATGCGCCCAACCACCCAGATCGTGATCGGTTCTCCAGTCGCAGGGTCACATAGAACCTTGCTATGATCATTGACCGGTTTGTATTGTCCCCAGGTGGCGGTTGGTAACAATTTCCCAAGGGCATAGATATTAGCCTTTGAGTTCATATACTCTGATAATTGATGTAGGCGCCTGCTCACAAAATGTGAACGTGTTTACTCAGACAATAAAGAAATACCGACATTAATAATGTGTCATCAAATTCGCCTATCTCTTCTTCGTCAATCAACTGTTTGGTAGGATGAGGCACGATGGAGCGGACTGTGAGAGCTGGTTGTGCGCCCTTATTGGTCTGTTTAACTGGTGTCGTGGAACTCTCAGATAGGGTGTATCCATCTTGCTTAGTCATTTCTTGTGAGGTCTCTGTGAGAGATGCATCGACGGTAGTCTGGGATCTATTATATATTAATCTCTCATACAAGTACATCCTTGCTAAAAATCTGTTTACTTACCTATCCTTATCCGCTGCTGACTCCTTATTTTCTGGTGTTCTCGGACTGTCTGAACCTACAGCGTCTCGGTTGTCGGTCGCCATTGTATCTGCATCTAATGTTAGTTGAAGTCTGAAGACTATATCCTCAGTCTTACTTGTACTCGTGAGTCTCACGTGCTTGGTGGGCCGGATTTCAGCCACGATTTCGTTCTCAGTGTGTGTGTCGTTCTTGGATTTTGTCATTGCTAGGAGGATCTCGATTACAATGAGGAGCAGGTGAATTCGCTCTATTTTCAATGTCTCCTAACAAGACAAATAAGAAAAAACAAATATAATCATACAAATATCAATTGTTGCATCATCTTTTATGCCTCGTCGAATTCCACTATAGTATGATGCTTTTTGGCAGGCTTCTCAGCCTTGAGTGGTGTTGCTTGGCGCTTCCGTTTGACACTTTTGTTGTCCTGTTTGTGATAATGAGTGAAAAGTAATCTGTATTACTCTTGGAGTACTCACAATATTCAGCTTTTCAACTTCGCCTATCGAGATTACGCGCATGATATACGTGCAAGTGAGAAAACATTTGAGAGTGGCGCGCACGTGACGATCTCTGTGTATCACAAAGTCTATTTCAGCTCCGATATCGACCAAATCGCCTTCTGTCAATAATACCGAATTCATCGGCACGACCTTTCTGGTTTCGTTTACTTGAGCAACTCGCAATGGGTCTTGAGGGATCCAACATCCCTGAATGTGGAAATATTTGTCTTCCAGATCTTCAATGGCTTTAAGTATCCGCTCTTTTGTTTGCAACGGTTCATGCCTCTATGGCATGCATCAGTATTTTCACAGTAAGACATGCCTCTCTCACCTTAATAAATGCACGTCTTTGCAAGTATAAATCTTTGTCGTATGCTATCCCTTGCATCGGAATGTGCAGGCGACGACTCATGTACTCTCCAGCTAGGTTTATAGATGCTATTGTAGAGTCCCACATCTCTTTATGTCCCCCAGAAGATAGGGTGATGTGTTGGACTGCTCGGAGTACGTCTGTTTCTCGTCTAGGTAGATTTTAGTATCTTATATCCATATCAAAGCATCACATTGCATACCCAGTCCAATTGCCAAACCTATCTATATGGAATTGACACAATAGGCCTTGCAAATGAATTGCGACGGGGAATATCATTTCCGACGCTGCATTTGGCATATTTTTATAGATTAGTATGTGATTTCGAGAAGGGTCTGTACGTTCCAGGTCTTTATACACATCGGCCCATTCTGCCATTTGCGATAGTGTGGATGGGAAAATTTGCCATGCAGCAAGTTCTTTAGATCCTCGTAGCTTTTGCAGCTCTTTGGTGACTGCCGGTGGCCACAAATCACATGCTACATAGAAATGACGTCCGATACATATTTCATCAGCTGATATCAAATCTGCAGCAACCAAATGTTCACTGACCTAATAAGAAAGACATTGTGGTAGACCTCAAGACATTGCCTCAGAATAAATGATTTGTCAAACATGCAGACTAGCATGTTGTCATTACACACGTCATGTATTAGTCACAGGTCATCATCACGTGAGTGGTCACATACCATATCGAAATCAAGGCTGGAGAGGTTTGACGAGGATTGTAGAAAGAAGATAAAGTCCTTCAAAATATATGAAGGGAAAGATGATGCTTGGTGAGAGTGTCGTAGGTTATGTTGGACTTCCGATGTCCTTTGAACCAAGCAGGTCTATACATCTATCATCTAAGGTAAATCAGAGTGATGATGAAGACAAACCTGATGTATTCTAACCATTTTGCATGACAGTGATGGTTAATCACTTACTGTCGGTATGTCCATGGACTTGGTCCATGAACTTTTGAACTCATAATCTATGTGTCATGTAATATGAATAATGAGGCTGGTCTCCATTATCCGTTTTCATGGTTTTCATTTTCCATATGATTCCTCAGATATTGGTCTCGTGTACTTATTGCAATATCATGTAAATGTCTTAGTTCTAAGCATGCATCACCCTGTAATTCAGCGTGCAATGTCTTAGATGAAAACCATCGTAACACTGCTATATTTCGAAGTAGTGAGGCACGTGATAACATGACGTAAATACTCTGCAATGATTTAGCACCCGCCAAATCAAGCACGACTTTTGGTAAGTAACTTCCTTGCACCTTGAAATCAGTAAAAGCCCAACCAGGAAGTATGGGCAATTGTGTTCTTCGTACATTAATTTTCTCATGATTTGTAGGCACAGAGAAATAGCTGGTCACTGGAAATATCGGGATTGTGCCGCTATCCAATCCCGGAATATGCAAAGTACTTTCTGGAATGTTGACCAACGCACATACTGGATATCTATTTTGCTTAGCATCAACTTCATAAGTCACTGATATTAAAATACCTCTACTCCCATTGACAATTTTACAGCTGGTTGCTGCATTCTCAGTAATCATCACTGGCATTTGAGGAATTAGCGGCAATTTGCCGATAGCATCATTAGTATGACTCGTTTCCATTCTCCATAATCTCTGTTGTTGATCCAATGTGACAGCCTTTCCTCCAATTTTATCTCAGGCGCAGTATACGTGAAAATCCTGGCTAATTTCGGCAGCAAACGCGCGACCTTTGGATGTGTTAATAGCGTCTCTCAAATTTTTCTGAGTGACAACAATCGGTGCGTCTTTAAAACTGTTGAATTCCTCAAGCGAGCGCACTTTGATTGTGCTGAGAATTCTTGTCTTTAGTAATTCATAATCACTCAGATGATTTCCTGGTAGGGCATTTCTGCGTGCTTGTCCTAATCGAATCCAATTTAACAGGTTAATAAATTCTGCATCGTCTTTAGCTCGCCAATTCTGTGTCAACTCTACGACAGTATCCACTTGTCGCCAAAGAAAAGCGCCATGTAATGCTGTCTGGCCTTTCAAGGTACTGACTGTGGCAGGAGACAATTGCTTAACCAATTTATAACTATATAGGGTGTTTGATTTCGGAGGACGCAGCTGGCCTAAATCGCCGGCAAAGATGAGATTGACACCACCGAAAGGTTTGTTTCTTGCAGACTCATCCCAAGATTTTGCCTGACATATTCGATGTGAAACCTGACTCAATAGTTCGGCAGACATCAATGAGGCTTCATCTAAGATTAAGTACTCGACTGTTTTCCATATAAACTCTAAATCTTGTTGTTTGATAGGAGCTTCTCTCTTCGGCAGAAATGTCAGAGCATGAATGGTATATCCATCTATCAAAACTGCTGCACTTCCTGTAGGTGTGCTTAGCGTTAATTTTTCAGGTGCTCCGCATCTTCAAAACATTTCAATGGTAGCCCGAATGACGTGGCTTTTGCCTGAGCCTCCAATGCCAGTTATAAACATCAGTAATTGCTTGACCTCTCCACGAATGAAATGTTCGCTGATGATTCTTAGACTCATCTCTTGTTCAATATTATCTGATAATTTAAATTCTGCAATGATCTCTGACAGAATCTCTTCTCATCTGCCTTGAGTAAGTTCGGGTTTATAATATACAGAAGTAATATCCGCATTTTCTTCCAATTGCTCCAAAGTAATACGAGGAGTGCCATTTTCTGAATCTAAACGTGCTCGCTTGGATTCTGCGTCGTTGGAGCCGACGTCAATTGGTCTCTTACGTTTTTTTGCAGCTTTCATGATGGATGCGTATTCTTGAAGACGACCTTGATTGGCTTGACTGGCGATTTCTGTGCTATTACCTGTATGTGTTGTATTGTTCGCCTGATCATCGATTGATACATTAAATAATCTGCCATCTTTGGCAGCACGCAGACAATGGCTTATGTCTCCCGAGTTTTTATCGCCTATCTCACCATTCAACTGCGAGCCTGTAACATCATCATCAAATTCATCACCATCAAGAGCTGGATTTGACAATAGAACGTCGTGGAGGGCATCGATATCCAATTGAGTCTCCACATCTGCAGTCACATCGTTGCCGAACATATGTGGTTTTCGATGATCTTCTTTGACAGCAGCAGCGTGTGTATCTCATGCTTCCTTACATTCATTCTCGACGTTCATGTTGCGAATAATTGACCATATAGCAGGTTCAAAGGTCGTGTTATTAAATGCATCTTTCCAAGACGCATGATTATCCTTCAGCATGCGTAAATCCCTCCATGGCTTGAAGAGTAACATCATGGCACAACAATACTTCTCATATTCTTCTTCTGATTGATCTGGACGAGGCAGCGCCTCGCCTAACAACACAGGTACAACTTGTTTCTCCCGTAAACATAATATATGTGTGTCAAACTGACTATGTTGTGTAAGGAATTGAGCACGCGGCAAAGCCTTACGACCTCGTTTGCACACTGGTTTAGCACTGTCAATGATATCCCCATTGTGCTCATCATCACTCTCTGTGCCCACCGATATATTTCCTTTGACTTTGATGGTATTCTCAACAAATTGCCAAAGACAAAGGTCAGTGAATTCCTTCGTCATAGGGTGCAACGTATAATCTGATATATCACTAGAAAATTCAACTTTATCTGATGAGACACTCATAGTCACTTGTTCTTCCATCAATGGCGCATCTGCTTCTTGATTGGACCTTCCGTCACAATCCTCAGAGTCAGTACATTCAAGATCAACTCTATCTGCTGCATGTACAAATTCATACCATTTGATAGTCTCAAAAGTATGACTGGTATAGTAGTCGCCTCCACCTATTAAATAACTCATTACCTGTTGATGAGACATTTCCTGCCAACCCATCATCGCATTTACAGACTTGGTAAGTAGATTACTATCCTTTTTCTGTGGATCTACTTGTGGATCTGTAATATATTTAGCATTGTGCATCTTAGGTGCATACTCCAATGCTTGTAAAGCGACATGCAAAGGCAAGTCTCCTTTAGTGATATATTCAGTGATATAAAATACTGCTGCCTTCACAGCTTCACCTGATCCAATGAACTGAGTGTCTGTATTGCACTGTAGGAGAAACAATTATTCACTCGACCTCTCCATCGTCGCAACTCAATAGAGCCAGTTTCAATGTCAATAGTCGTGACGTCCTGCACAGAGCCATCGAGACGCATTCGACAAGTTGAATCTCCTTTTTTTTGTCCATTTTTTAGATGCTTATAACATGTCTCGCTATGAATGTGCCAGTTACATTCTACAGCAAGACGACTCAAAAACTTTTTGAATTCATATTCAAAGGATTTTGCATCCATTTCAGCTACTTGTGGGGATCGTTCTAGCCTTGGGTCGAGTTCGTGTGTGCGCACAGGTTTGCATGCATCATTGGGCGATGTTTCAGGTACAGGACCCTTATCATATGGAAGCTTGCAGCTAATAATATTCTCTAGCCACTGAAACATATTAGATTTGAAGCTCGCATCAGATGCAAGTCGATCACGCAATGCCTGGGGACTCGGATTGCCAGCGATCCATAATAACATATGACAATGCAGTGTCCCTCTTCCTTGCGCTTCGACCATACCGTAATACGCTTGACAGTGACCAAAAATGCCTGGTCCATGCTTATATTTCAAAATGATATTTAGGAATGCCTGAATTTGTAAGTCGAATGCGAGTGCCGCAGCATCTGGCCGAACAGCAATCACCTTAGCTCGCTCAAACGACGACATGGTCATCCATTGATCCAATTCTATATCTACGATTGAAGAAACTATATGACTAGTTAAATCATGTGGATTGAGCATCATGAATAACGCCGGTGTACAATATTTTTTCATAAGAGCACGAATTTCATTACGACGACACAACTTATATCCAATACTTCCTCTCAGATTTTTTGTTGACGATTGCAAACGACGCAGAATGCACGCAGCTTTTTTCTCTTGAGTGGTAGATGGTTTTTCATGGATTGAACACGTCCATTTCTCAGCCAATGCAGTCAAAGATGGACCAACGTCTTTTAATTCTCTTACCAAACTCTGTTGCTGAGATGCGCAGACTCGAAAGGTAGTATTGCTACTGATTTCTCTTTTTTGAATCATATTCCAACATATAAAGGCAAAATTAGTGTCCTTTCGAAACGGAGAATCATCTTGAAGCAATAAGTTGCGAACCTGAGCTTCCATCGAAAGATGTTGCTTCGATGTACGTCCACAATGAAAAAAAACCTCCAATATCCCAAGGATCAATATGAGGGAATAGGTAAGACATTAATCCAGGATCATTATCCGCAATGAAGCTAACACCAGTCCGAGAAAGAAGGAAACACTTCCGATCTAAGACATAAGCTAATGCATGCAGTTTCATCTTTTCTCTGCTCTGTGATGAGTGGTCTCCTTGAGTAAATCCCACTGCTTCCATAACAATGTCTTCTGATGCATCATCTTCTGGCACATCAACTTCTCACGACTCGAGGCCTTCAAAACATGTGCTGTCGGGTGTGTCACCTCCTCGCGGCAAATGACACACTTCCAATGTTGCGGGAACACTGCAATCAACATCCGCATCGACATTGTCGAACAGTGAGTCCATATTTCGTGGACTGTAGGCAACACCACTTTTCTGATACCATGGATTATTAGTGATTAAAAATTCGATGAGTATACGCACTCTACTCTTGGTGACCAGTATGGGCCGCAATTGTTTCACCGTGTCACACGAAGGCCATTCTTTCTGACCACTAAAGACGACGCACATGGCATCTCGAAGCTCATCGTAACTGGGAGGCAACATAGAATAAAGCTTGACAGAATCTTGGGGTCTGACGGCCACATTTCCTTTATTGTACTGCTGAGAGATCTGTTCCACTGGACGATATTGTGCTGTCGACGACTTGTAGCTATAAAAATGAGTGATCTGGGACGCCTGAGCACGAGAAATAAGCATCAAATCATACACGGAGGCATGAGTGAATGCATGTCGAATATTATCTGGTAATCTATCATGAGCATAGTACTGAAAATTAGCTAATGAGTTGACTGGTTGCCTTGGCGGCTTATTTGTCAATGCGGCACAACACACACAACACATAAATAAGTCAGAGAAAGACCAACAAGATTTCATACCTTTAGGGTACAAGATGGCACGACTGTACATCTCCAAATCGTAACTGTGCGGCAGCATATGTTCTGGTAAACAATCATTGTGCAACAAATGGAGTGGCACCTTATGAATATCCACACAATGAAGATCACTGATGAGGAGATTATGCGCACAAACAGCACATGCTCCTTGTTTCAGTGCTTCAGGTGACATTTCAGCTTGAAACTGCATAATGATATCCCGTTTCTCTTCAAAGGTACGAATCGATGGAAATTCAATACTATCTGAAACAGTTTGAGCATGTACTCGACAACTTTCATAATGGGAATCCGCATCTCGAGCCAAAATATCCGAGCGTTGTGTTTCACTAAGCACTGCACGACTCTCACGATGCGCAATGGCATTTGCCTGATGAGAACTGTTACAAAAAGGATCAGGAAGAATCTGATTCGAAAAATCTCGTCGCAGAACTTTCAAGAGCTTAAAAACAGGTAGATTAGATATACAATCCACGTTACATACATGCACACGCAACATGTCACGGATATGATCCTTACGATGTATGGACATGACACAGACCGCATGTGCAGACGCAATCAAAGCATATTGCTCCCTAGTAAACATCAGACAATTCTCCATGAGTTGCTGCAGACTCGCTATGGCAACAGGCAACAAAACACCCGCAGGATACTGTCTCAACGCCAATAGGCGCTCTCGAGAAACCTCAAAAAACCCAAAGTACTTGCGTAAAACGCATGATGTCACTATAGAATTCCCGTCGTTGGGAAACTCTTCGTCGGAGATAACAAGCGAAGCAGGAGGAACAGAGAGAGAAAGGTTTGTAATTGACGAACTAGATGCCATGCAAAAAAACGAAGTTATGTGTTGAAAATATTATATCACGGACAGCAGAAGCTGATGGTCAAAACCAAAGAGAGAAAGGAGAGAATCGAATGATGACTAAGACCGGACCCTGCAGGCCTGGGATGATCGTGCGGACAGACAATTAAAATTGGTAAACCAGTACCTATTCTAGGTCCTGGTATTACTAAGCACTCTTGGAAGGCACAAGACGTTGGACTCCGGACGCACCGTAGCCTATTGTCCAGACAGGCTGATATTAGGTTACGTGGTCACGGGTCATACAATATTCCAGAATTTCCAATATTGTAACCCCTGTGTACATCACGTACGGACAATATCACCTTGCTTGCAAGGTCATATGGCATGCGACAATGTGTGTGGGATTTTCTGCCAATAATAAACAATAATAAATATCAATAAACTGTATACAGCTTTGTTTCTACAATCACAATCCAGTCTAAACAGGTTAGCTGGGCATATAAATTCGCAACTAACGCCAAACAGTATCATGCACAGCCAATTACTGACAAACATGTAGCACAACGTAGCACTGTACAAAGCAATACAAGAGAATATAGCAGCCTGCGTGTATCTGCGTGTATCTGCTTAGTAAGAGTGCAGACAAGCAAGGTTAAAATCGGCAACGCCGAACCCTAGTCTTCTCATCGGTTTTCTGATTGTCAAATGTCCATCAATCACATCATAGACATCAGGCTAAAGCAGTGTGAGAACATAGTATTGTCTTATTACAAGAGGGTTTTTGTAGATGAAGCTAAAGATCCGGTCATGACATAATATCACCTCACTTGGCACCATCATAATTCACAATCATAGAAGTCGGCCACGGGCTCTGCAGCATCTTCTCATTCAAATACGCATAATGCAGTACCGGAATGGCCGAATCCGAGAACCGCGTAAGTTTGCCAGACTGCCCAGGCCCTCGGCGCACGTTCTCGAGCGATGCGACCGCACGGAGGACTTCAGCCAGTATCGTGGATGCTAGTTCGTCACCTAAGACTTTGAAGCACCCGTCGTTTTGGAGGTAGCGTTCACGTGGTGTGCGGGCCGCATTTAGGACGTGGGGGCTAGGGAACGCGTCTTCCTGTTGGGTTGGGTTGTGTGAGAGGAGATTTGGCCGTTTTGGATGGTTCACTTACGTTCATGTTTGCACTGGCGATGTGGAGGAAGAGGCGTTCACCTTTCCTGACGTTCAGCGACTCGATAGATTCGTCTTGCTTCGCGACACGGTAGACACCAGCAAATGGTGGGTCGATTCCTAGTCCTCCGTCAGAAGATAAGCCATGAGCCAGAACGAAACACATACTGAGCGCCTCGGTAATGAAGGCAGTCAAACTACCAACGTCCTTGACATCCACTTTCTTGTTCGCCGCGACCGTGACTTCCGAATCATACTCCTTATGAAGGAGCAGATTGACGACATTGGTCAACGCTACAGTCCCATTAGCATCGTTCATGAACACACAAACAACTGAATCACATACCAAGAGACATCTCAACAGTAGCCCCGACCAAAAACGCCAGAATCGAGTTCACGACATGCTCCGTCGAGCACCCCAAACTCAAACAAGCGCTTCACGATCTCACTATGGATCTTCTTCTTCCCAAAAAGACTGGACACCGTGCCAATCAATCCAGCAAACGGCAACTTGCTCCCAGCACTCCCAAGAGCAGTCTTGATCAGATGCGTCAGCTCCTGCACGTGCTCCCTCACCCTCTGCCTTATCGGCATATAGTACGCTGGCTCCACTTCAAGGAAGATGAATCTTCAAAGCACAAATGATCAGTGATCATCAGGGAACGAGAAAGGCATGCAACACTAACTGGTAAATCTCTCCAAGCATGTCAAACAACTGAGACTCGGTGTATACACCATGAGGATGCTCTTTCGTCTTGAGCGGGATACCAGCCTGCGATACGATCGCAAATCAAAACAGGTCAACACCCCGCATCGTCCTCTAAAATTAATA